CTACTAGGATGGAGTGTGGAGCAATGACGTTAAAGGGAAACTAAAAAAAAAAAAAAATTAGTAGTGATTCTTTAAAACCTGTTTATTAACTCTATCTTTGAGATACTTAAATAATATGTGAAACATTTCTATAGTCACATCTTTATTTAACAATTTCTGAAGTTGAGATCTGATTTATTTCTATATGAAGCGCTTCTGTAAGTTGTACTCTTTCGTTGTCATATCCTTTACATTTTATTAAAATATGTTCAACTGTTTCAGGAAGATCACATTTACCACAAAGTCCAGACTCATGTTTTCCTATTATAAATAATGATTGATTAAGTGCAGTGTGTCCAATTCTAAGGCGAGATATTATGCCGTCTTCCTTTCTATTCCCCAAAATTCTCCTCTCATTTCCAACTGTTTTTTGAATATTATATAAATGCCGTCCTTTATTCTCACCATCCCATTTACTTTGCCATATATCTTTTAATGCTTTTTTAATTAGTCCCTTTTATTTCTAATTTACTCATTGGAACATTAAATTCTATGTCTGCATGTTTTAATGTTTTTTTTTCGCTATTTGATCCACCACTTCATTACCTTCTATCCCTATATGTGCAGGTGTCCATACAAAAGAGATAATGGTTTTTGTTTGTATTCTGAACAAACTTTGTAAAATGTCTGATAAAATGTCTTTGTCTAGTTGAAGATTTACCACTCTTTAAACTTGATAGTGCTGAATAGGAGTCTTAGGTGATTAGTCTGAATTGCTGCTTCTGTTCTAACACTGGCTGAAGGTGCATGAACTGACTCGCAGACAAGCTCTCCTTATTGGACTGGAGCGCAATTGAGTTTACTTGCAGTCTCTTGAAATAGACTAGATCAGTGATTCTCAACCAGGGGTAAGCTATGTGTACCCCAGAGCAGGATTTCTAAACTTTTTGTTACATGCCAGTGGCCCCCAAATATGACATGGGAACACTTTCCTGAAAAAAAAAAATATATATATATATTTTCTACTCACCACTACAGTAGAAACATAACCAGATTTCTTAAAGGGGTCATATTATGTTGCTAAAAAGAACATTATTTTGTGTATTTGGTGTAATTAAATGTGTTTATGCGGTTTAAAACATGATATCTGTCAAGTTTATAGAAAGCAGAATGAATTAGTAATGTTATTTATTTTATTCATATATAACAGTTTTATTTAGTTTCCATTTTCCACATTATTTTTTTCATTGCCTGCTTACTGTGAAAAATAAAATGTGTAGAAATTTATTACAAATTTTCTACAAAAAAACTTAAACATTCAACAATCACTAATTGTGATTAGTCTCATGGTTTCTGAAAGCAGAATAAAATAGTAATGATGTCAAGTTCTGTCATTTATTTCTTTTGGAAGATTCTTTTCTCTAGACTTTTCCACAGACTCGCTATCACTGCTGGGGCCACAATAAAGTGATCTCATGATTCTCATGAATCTCATGATTTCTGTCTAGTCTACAGAAAGCAGAATGAAATAACAATAATGTCAATTTCTGTTTTTTTATTTGTATTTTATTTATTAAGACAATGGTGCCCATTGTCCAATTTTTTATTCCAATAAAGAATAAACAACATTGAATGCAAATAGAAATTATAGCGTAATAATCGTATCTGTTGTCTGCAATACAGGACATATAAACATTGTGTAAATGGGCTCCTTCAAGCTGAGCTGCTAACTATAAATACTATAGCACAATATATTGCACATTTTGATTCTTGAATAGGGCTTGGAATATACAATTTTAATATGAATATTAATTCATATAAACGAAGGTAGGGTCTGCGCCTGCAGCTCATTAATCAAGCGGCAGGGGGCGCTTACTGTCTCAACCTGGCACGCGAGCAAAACGCAGAGGAAGAGCTAGAATAACGGTTGAAAAAAAAGAGTCCCGAGTGTCAGCGGCTCTGCGGCGGGTGTTTGAAGCTCGAGGCCGCTTGTAGTTTGGTTGTTTGTGTCCGTGTTATTGACGTTAGCATCCAGTCAGCGTCTCTCGGGTAATGAAGCGCACCGTTGCCCCTGTAGGTTGTGTTCGTGCCGTTATTATCTTTAGTAAAGACCCTTTCAGCCCGTGAGTTCAGGTACGTGGAGTTGTTTACTTTTTAAATTGACCTTTTAAACTCTTTTTGTTAGCTAACTTGGCTATCTGTACGAGCTAACGTTACATCTGTTTGTTTGAAGTAGCAACATGTGGAGCTTGTTTTTAAAGTTATTATGAAGATTTAAAAGTTATTATATGAACATTTAAATGACTTTAATAGCGTGTAGTTTCTCTTTTTGGTTGTGGTTCATTTAACTATTGAAAACTTTATAGGGTATAGGAAATGAATGGCTTTTGTAATTTAAGAAACTTGATTACAGTGTTCTAGGTAACGTTAAACGAGCTTTAAATGTCCTAAATTTAAGCTAATCTAGCTAACTATTGCAGCTCTAAGCTTTGGGAGATATTTTCTGCTGTAACAGTTAGGTTTTTCAAATAAGATCGTTTTTTCAAATAGTTAATCTGTGAATGACTTTGAATACTTTCTACATTCAGATAAACAGTTGTGGAAATAATGCTAATTTTTCTAATATATTATTATTATACAATAAAAATGATCAAATATGATTATATAATACTAATAATGTGAACTGTTTTGTAATTATTATTTAGTAAATATTTGCTGTTATTTTTTTCCCAGCTGTTCTGCCAGCTCTTTTTGTTGCTCATAGATCTGCAGCACAGCTAAAAGACTTACTTGTTTTTAGACTTAATGTTTTTGCTTCCAGACACTTTTGTGTTTTGACAGTGTTGTCTTTTTTATCTCTTTTTTAAAATTAATTGAATGAATCCTGTCCACAGGTGACTGCAACAGGAATGACCACTTCACAGAAATGCCAGAACCCCAAACTTGCAGGTACAAATCCAGTGCAGTCCAGGATAAGCGTATGTTATGTACCTCATAACCATAATAGAGTGTCGCATCATGCGTTCATTATGTGTTCCAGTAGGGCACTCTGACACGGAATGGCTGACACCTGCTGTGTCTGAGAAGTTCCAGAGCCGTTTTGGCTGGCGGCTCAGCACAGCGGACAGTGGGGACACGGGACTGGGTACCTCTGACCACACTGAAGGTGAGAACGCTCACAGTGTTTAGATACTGTCCATTTGACTGTCTTTCATGCAATATACCTGAATTCAAGAACTCATCAGCCCCTTCATCTTAACGGTGGTCTTGTAGTTGAAATTGTGAGGCACAAAATGGGAATTCTAGTCATGGAGCAATCATGGAATATATAGTCATGTAAATTTACGGAGTACTTGTACAGTATTTTAGTATAGTATTCCATAATGTAACAATCATGGAAATTTCTATAGTTAATAATACAGATTTTTCCTTTTCTTCTTATTTGAGTGCAAAAGGATCTTTATCTAGTAATCATAAAGACATGAAAATCATGAAAAAATTATGGAAATTAAGTGGTCAAAAGTTTTGGGAACCTTGAAAATTATAGTAATACCTATAAGTAATAAATTCAAAATGATAAATATACCATTTACTCCAGTTTCCCATGCCAAACCATGCTCGCTCTCTTTCATTTTTCTACATTTGAGTGTCCTTTTCAGTATTGATACAGATCTTCAGAAGATTCTATTGTCATGTGTCTTATATATATATATATATATATATATATATATATATATAAGAAGTGAATGGAACCCTACAGACTTCCCCTGTAGTCACCTGTATACGTTTATTAATATTCAGACATCATGGATAGTTTTTTATTTTTTATTTATTTTTTAAGTTTGACCAAACAAGCAATGGTTTTAAAGAGAACCCTTTTTTATTTACAACAGACATTACATCCTGCTGGCTGTTTTTAGATTAAGCTGTCATATTTTTAGTCATGGAGATGTGCTCATATCAACTCCTATGATATTTGGAGGAGGATATGATATTCCATACCATAGATTCCTTCAGGCGGTGTTGCACTTCCACTGATGGGGGTCTCATTAGGAGGGCCTGACCTGGAGGACCGAATGGAAACTCTGATCCTGGTCTCCTGGTTTCCTTCTCTCTGCCTTGTTAAACATGTAAAGCACAAAGATTAGCCGTACTGAAGAACTGGTGTATGTCTATTACCATAGATTTGTACAGAATGTGCAGTCCATTTGAAAACATATGTGCTTATGTTGGCATTATTGAATTGTGCTGTGTGGCCTGGTTTGATTGGTTATTTTTAGCGATTGACTGATATCAGTTAGGCTGATTATTGGCATTACTGTGCTCAGTTAACAGAAGTTTTTATACCCCTAATGTGAGTTCCAGAATGTAATGACAGCCTTGTCAATTGTTAAATAATTTTCTGATTTCACTTGTGGTTAGTAATATTCACTCATTTATTTGCTATCATTAAATTGTATTTCATACAGGATTCACACAGTCATGGGAAACCTGAAATTATTAGATAATTTTTCAAATGTTAAAATGTTTTTTTTCTATGGTAATTAATATGCTACTGTTCAAACGTTTGGGATTGGTAGGAATTTTTTTCATGTTTTTGAAAGTAATCTTTTATCCTCACCAAGGCTGCATTTATTTGATCAAAAATAGAGTAAAAATAGTAATGACAATTTGGTGCTCAAGAAACATTTCTTTATTATTATCAATGTTGAAAACAGTTGTGCTGCAGCATTAAGAAAGTAAAAACAGCATTTATTTGAAATACATTTTTTGTAATCATGTCTCTACTGTCACTTCTGATCAATTTAATTGCTGAATCCTTGCTGAATAAAAGTATTTTAAAACTTCACACAGACTTCAACATTTTAAACAGTAGTGTATGTATATACAAATATATAATTTAAATGATTTTAAAATCCTTATCCGGTGATCATAGATGACTGAAAAAGGTCATGAAAATTCAGTATTCAAATGTTGTAGTCATTGTATCCAACCAGCCTGTTATCTAGATATCTGAATCACTTATTGAAAAACTCATATCAGTCGACCACTGTCGTTTTTGTTGTTTGTTACCATGAAACTACTCTCAGATAAGTTACCGTAGTAATAGTATTAAAGTCTATTGAGTTTTCTTATATACTGTTTTGGCACCTAGCAACTAAGACACACTAATAAAACTACTTTTATTTGTTTTTAAAACAGCCAAAACGGTGGCGGCACAGAACTTCTTGGCAGCCGTTTCATTTTAGCGGTTATAAATATATGGTTGGCTGTCTGTGGGCTTCTGTGTTGTGATGGTGATGGCTTTGTTTTGTTCTGGGTGTTTCTTGTAATGGCAGAAAGCCTCTCAGCACTCCAAGAATCGTATTGTTTAAACCTGTCCTTAGCAGATGTTCAAAAGAGACACCCCCAGGGCAGACCCTCCTACTGCTGCCTGCATCTTGACATCTCTACTTGATTTGTGTGTGTTCATTTAATTGTTGTATTGAGGAACCCGTTTAAAGGCACTTCAGCAGTATTACAGTATTAAGGACTATTAAGCTTGTGTGTGTGTGAGAGAGGTGAGCTGTATGGCTAAAGCAGGAGTCCCACACATAGACACCTCACAGTGTAACATGAGAGTGCTCTATAAATACCGCTAACCTTTTGGTGTGTATGCACTCCTGCGCTAACAGAGCTGTAGGAGAAAAAACCTCTCGTAGCAGGTACACTCACCTTGCCTGAGCTTGACGTTAATTTGAAGGACGAGTTCGAGCAGACGTAGTGGGTGTGTTTTAAGATCAGTAGTTTGTCTATGTCATTTACTGAAGATGCATTGGGAGGACATGTTTTTTATGCATCACTGTTCTTCAGTGTATGAAAATGTTATCATTTGGCATCTCTTTTACTGCTAGCAAGGTGAGTACAATTTTTCGCAATGATTTGGTGTGCGTTAAATGTCAGAACTAGCTAGCATTATTTTTTTCTTTGGGCCGGAAAAGAAACATTGGCTAATTTAGTTACATACTTTTTGCAGTTGTATAATGTCTATATAATTTGGTCAGGATTTATGACATAACAGTGGAGCAAAACTTATTCTTTTCTTATTTATTCTTTTCTTATTTATTATGCATGTATATAATAAATAAGGGTTCTCCGTTTTGCTCCACTGTTTGTTATAAATATAGATATACATATATGTTATTTTATATTATAATTTTGTTTTTTGTTATTTTATTTTTATTTTGTACTTTTTTTTACTTTTAAATTTTAATTTACTTGACTTATGTAAATTTTATTTTACTTGATTTTATTTTATTTTCCCAGGGAATTTAATTTTAATTTAATTTTCATATACTTTTACTTGTGGTTTTATTTCATTTTCTTTTCATTCTCTTTTACTTAATTTTCTTTTATTTTAATACATTTTATTTTACTCTTTATTTAATTTTATTTTACTTGCTTTTAGTTTATTTTCTAAGGGAATATCTTTATATATACATTTGAAATATTACTAACTTTAAGAAATATTCCTGGTTGCTTCCAGTTTAATGTCTGGGTTCAAAAAAATATTTAAGTAAACTATTATTTTAAATTACATTTTTTTAAAATGCCATTACTGTCCTACTTTTCCAAATATATTTGGTTGAAAATAAAAAAGACTTTTCCTTAAGGACAGACACTTTTTATTATTTCAGTCTATTGCTCATTTAAAACATAACTTGTATTTGGTTTAATTTATTTCTCACTCCTGTCTTACTCCTGTTCTAGATATCTGCAGCACTAGCAGCAGTCCCTCTTTCCAGCCCATCCGCAGTCAGATCCCTATCCCCACTGCCCATGTCATGCCCTCCACGGCCGGAACTCTGACCTCCAAGCTCAAGCCACGTGCTTCTGAAGAGGCCCGGGCTTCCTCCAGCTCTTCTAGCTCCAAGTCATCCCTCCCCAAATCTGCATCCTCCCCCAACCTGGACGCTCAGCACGATGGAAATTTAGACGCAACTGCGGTCAAGCCTGATTGCCTGAGCCGATACCGCAGCCTAGTTAATGGCCTCGATCACTCGCTCTTCCCCTCTGGAGATCAGACGCGGCTGGATGAAGCCCAGAAGTTTGATGTACCTGCCATGGAGCCAACGCTTAATCAGTCGGCTCTGCTTGGGGGACTTTGCCATGATGTACGGCAGCAGCTGCAGATGACCGGGTTTGCGGACAATACAGGCTTGCTAGAACAGACCTATAAAGTCCTACCAGAGTCTAGGGCAGGTCTCACCTGTCCCGTAGACCCATATGGCCAAAGGAACATTCATCCAGGGTCTGGTGCTTCTGCCAGGATGTTTTCAGTACCTCAGGGCCTGCAGACTCAGGCTCTCCTGAGGGACCAGGCCAGCACAGGAGTTTATGATCCACTACTGCAGGAACGCTGTGGTGAGCTGGCCAGCTGGCAGCAGCAGAAGCAGAAACTCGAGAGTCTGCGGCTACAGGTGGAACAAATGCAGGTTAGAGTTCAGCTTGTGTCCTGCTGCATACAAGAAAGGAAAAGGGAACAGTTGTGTAATCATGAATCATACTTCTAAAGTCAGCATGAAATTAGAATTAACTTTATTTAATTCAACACGTTGCAGGTTTTATTGTGCATGATTCATCAGTGTGTGCTGTTCCAAAAACAGACACTGATCTTTCATAAAAATGTAGTGAATCTACTATTTATTAATGCTTTGAATTAGCTTATTTTTATATTTTCATTTTAATTTTAGTAATTTTATGCTTTTGTCTTTTTTAGTAGTTTATTTTTAAATAACTATATTTAGCTTTAATTTTTTTATTTCAGTTTTAGTCATTTTAGTACTTAAACATTAGTTTTTTTTATTTCAGTTAGTTGCAGAGGGTTTTTAAGTTTTTATTCTATCTTATACTTATCTCAGCTTTATGACAAATTAATGATAATACTTTTATAGTGTTTTTTTTATTAACAGACACAATGTAGTATGTAAAATATAATGCTCTGCCTGTTAAAAACAACTTTAGTTTTTAGTTACATAGGCAGTGCAGCCAGGGAAAATGTTAATCAATAGCAATTTAGGCTAATTTTGCAACAGTAATCACTGAAGATGAACGGATACAAAATTAGAGTGCTGATAATGGTATTATTTAGAACAGTGTCTGATAGTTTGGTGGTTCTGCTTTTTTCTGCTCTCTTGATTTTCAAAATACTGATATTATTTGCACAATTTTGAAAGGAAATTAAATATTAATTGTAAGAAATGTTGAGGACATTGAAGATCTCAGTGAAGTTTATTGCCGAGTAGAAGGAACAAAATGCATGTAACGCCTCAGTCGTAATAAAACCTGAGCATCCTAAATAAATCTTTTATCCTGTTACAATTTACCACCTCTATAGCTGTGGTCTGTATGTTAAAGTCCAGACTCCCCATTGTGTGAGATGGTTCCCAGTTTCCCATACCCATTCCTATCATTGATGACAATTTGCTCAGTATGTGATCACCCCAAATGATGCAGAAACAACATAACTGTTGACTTTCTTCTTCTCTAAAATAATTAAGCCATTTTGGGCAGTGGGCATAATCTAACATCTGTTTTGGAGTGGAATCTGGGTCGGGCAGTCTGTAGTTTGTTACATGTTTTCCATGTTTATTTAGCTAACTTGCTTTATAACAGTTTCTCAAAATGGAATCATTGCAGAGATGGAAAATCTACTGCTGTTAATTAGTTTGAGAGACAAATATAAATCAATGGACTATCACAATGATAATGATAAACTACATGTTCTATACATCTAAAATAACTGCTATAAAACACACTGAAACAGCACCACATATAATGACTGCAAATTGCCCTGTTTTTCATGCTGCAAATTGCAATTTTGCAGTCTACTTCATGTCAGAGATATTTTATTCACTGCCTGAGTTTGTAGCAGTGCAACAAATTGTTCTATGCTCTTTCGATTAACAGGAAAATCAGCCCTACATTTTTCTTCTTGTTTAATATTCAGTGTCAATTGTGGTCATATCATACTATAGAAAAATGGGTTGCAAGTACCAGTCGTGGCCCAATCGTGTTTTTATGCCTATTTTAAATAAGAGTTCATGCTTCCCCACCTATTTTTTATTGCAGTTAATGACAGGAGGAAGTGGACAGTATTCATCTCTCTATCCAGCAACCTCTCACACGGAGAATAGCAAGTGGGATGCTGTCATTAAAGCCAATGAGAACTTGCTAAAAGAGAAAGAACTTACCATTGAAAGGTAATGCCAAGTTTTCAGAAACATCTCTAGTCTTACAAAGATTCTGAACATTAACTTAATGTAGTAACTTGCGCATTGCAGACAGAAGCAGCAAATGTCGCTGCTGGAACAGTGTCTCAGAGAGAGTGAGCTGCAGGTGCACAGTGCCCTCATGGGACGTGGAGCCCCTTACACCGATGTGTGTTTAAGACTGCAGGTTAGCACACATGCACGCACAGCCTTTTCCTTGTGCTGTATCAAAACATCTCTTCGAGTTGTCCCTCTTCTTCCTTCTGTGTGCGATAGGAAGCCCAACGGGAAAACGCTTTTTTGCGAGCCCAGTTTGCAGAGCGCAGTGACTGCTTTACCAAGGAGAAGCTAGAAGCGGACCGCAGACTGGGTGCAGTGGAAGCAGAGACACAACGTCTGAATGAGGTGTTGAAAGAGAGCAGTGAAAAACATGCAGAAGAGCTAAAGAAACAAGAGGAGAGGGTGAGCATATTCAAGCTTCAACATGGGACATACTCAACCACATATGAGCAGAATCTCACTGAACTTGTTACTGAACTTGTTGCTGTTTACTACAAAGATCCGAAGTCGAGACAAGCATATCAACAGCTTGAAAAAGAAGTGTCAGAAGGAGTCAGAGCAGAACAGAGAAAAACAGCAGCGGATTGAGACACTCGAGCGATATCTTGCTGACCTTCCCACCATGGAAGACTACCAGGCCCAGCACAAAAAGGTACGGCACTCTCTGATGGCCAGCCAACAAAACAAAAGCCTTTTTTCCCTGTGGTTTCACAACAATTGCTCATAATGCTCAGCTTGAGATGCTTCTCTTGTGTTGAATTGCCAGACACTATTATAGCATCCACTGCACTCATATCACACATCTGCTCTTGTTGTATTCTTTATCTTAAAGTGACACTCTCCTTACTCTGTTGGCTCACAAAATCCAAGCTCACTATCCCTCTTCTCCAAGACAATGCTCTGTTTGCAAAAGGGCTTTTTTTTTTAATGCACCTAAAAATCTGATGGTTTTTAAAATGTAAATTATTTATCCTTTTAATTATTATTTAAAATTCCTTTTAATAAAGTCAATAAGATTGTTTTAGTTTTTTTAAATAAATAATAATTTTATTCAGAAAAGATGCTATCAATTACTGAAAAGTGACATTTAACACTTTTATCATGTTACAAGTGAGTTCTCATAATTCATTTGGAATAAATGCTGTTATTTTAAACATTCTATTATTTAGAGAATCCTAAAAAATGTATCCCGGTTTCCACAAAAAATGTTTTCAACATTGACAATAATAATGTTTCTTGAGCACAAAATCACCATAGAAATGATTTCTGAAAGATCAAGCCATCACATGAATAAATTACCATTTAAAATAGAAAAAACATGCAAATTTATTCAAATAAATGCAGTCGTAGTATGCACAAGAGATTACTTTTAACAAAACATTTGAAAAAAATCTTACAGACACCAAACTTTTGAACGGTAATTTATATAACTGCTATATTATTTTGTCCGTTCTTCACCCGGCCCTTTGGGCCACTGTTTTGAGCAGCTGTTATTCTCATTCTCAGTCCTCAGTTATTATGCCGTAATATTGCTATGTTGCAGCTGGAGGAGGCAGAAGAGAGGGCAGCTCAGTTGCAGGCCACCATCAGAGACCTGGAAGCCCAACTGGAGGAAGCCCGCAGTGCTGTGCGCAACAAAGAGACCCAACTGGAAGAACAGAGACGCAAGGAGAGAGAACTGCTTACAACAGTCACCAGGTAGGAAAAAACATGCAAGCCCCACTTGCACAAAAAGACGCAATGTCCACTTATTAGGTTTTGAAGCATTCGCCATGTATGTGGGGTCTAATATTGTTTGATTTGCTTTTGTATTTAGTCTCCAGAACAGAGTGCAGGAGAGCCTTGAGGATGGAGTGAAATTGCCTTCTCTTGACATAGAGAAGCTACGAGAAGAAAACACTACCTTGAAAGATGAGCACCTGCGACTCAAGAAGGTTTTTATTCACGCTGATTTTCAATAACACTTAATTAATAGTGTTGAATTATGGCTCTGCCTGTTGATGAATATACGTTCTGTGCAAATATTTTAAGGTGATATCTGAATGAATCTTTCTTTTTTAGGTCATTGAAAAGCAACTCAGGATAATGGAGCAGCTTAGCTCACAGATCAGGGTAAAGACTGCATTGAGTTTAATTTGTTTAGCAGGTGCATTTACATTACATTTTTAAACCAAATTTACATGACATTTTTTCATTTGGCAGACACTTTTATCCAAAGTGTTGCACTGAAGGTATACATTTGATCATGCATTACCTGGGAATCAAACCTATGACCTTGGTGTTGCTAGTGCCGTGCTCTCCTGGTTGAACTACAGTTTTGGTTTAATGGAAAGAAACTGTGGTATTAGCCAAGATTGAGCAGGGGGCACTCATCATCTTCTGACTAGCACAAAGATAAAACTAATTTTTATCCAAGCCAAAATATAAGCTATATTCAGTAAGTGACTCAGAAGAATGATTTAAATGAATAGCACATGAGTTTAATTAAAAACAACTTAAGTCATTTGTTTGCAAATCGGACTATGCTGGTCGAGACTACTGGACTTCAGGACTAAGATAAAAAAATAATAATAAAAAATGTAAATCTCATATGCTTACCAAAGCTGCATTTATTAAACAATAAATTTAATTAAAAAAAATTTAATTGGTATACAGTTTTTAACAATTTAAATTTTTTTTATATTTGAATGTTTTAAAATGTAATTTATTCCTGTGATGCAAAGCTGAATTTTCAGCAGCATTACTCCAGTCTTCAGTGTCACATGATCTTCAGAAATCATTCTAATATGCTGATTTGCTGCTCAAGAAACATTTCTTATTATCATCAAAACAGTTGTGCTGCTTGATTATTTTTGTAGAAACAGTGATATATTTTTCCAGGAGTCTGATGAATAGAAAGCTCAAAAGAACAGTATCATTATTATACAGCAACCTACAGCATCACTTTTGATCAATTTAATGCATATTTTAAACAAAAAAACTGACCCTAAACTTTTGAACAGTAGCGTTGGTTGAAAATGGTGGAACTGTAGAACTGTTAATGGAAACAAACATCATAAAAATCATTCTGTTCCAGTATTTTTTCTTTCTTTTAAACGGAACCCATTTTGAATAAGAATTGGTCTTTTAAATCTGAACTTGAAGACTGTAATTAGGTGTAATTTAAGTAAATCCCCATCACTAAGAGTCAGGCGTCATATTCTATGATCAAGTTCTCATCAATGTACTTTCAGTAGTATCTAGGAGGTGAAGAATCTTTACAAACACCTTCCTTAAAGCTTCTTTAGGAACACCTGATATTATTTTAGTAAAGAAAAAAGTCTATATATTAAGTCTGTAGGTTCAACACTTAGAGCATGTGTTTTTCCTGTTAAAATGTTAGTCAAAGTGTCTTACACCGAAAGCAGTTGAAGTATAGTTTATATGAGCAAAATGTTTAGTTTACAGCTATAATATTGTGTGTGTGTTGCCTTAGACTCTGGAGGAGCAGCTCTCTCAGGAGGAGTGCAGTAGTCGGGCGCTGCGAGAGGAGGTGGCAGAGAAAGAGGAGAGTCTGCTGCAGTTACGCACTGCTATGAAAGAGGTTAGTAGTTGACCATAATGCATGTTCAGCTCTTTGCCTTTGTGTTTTCATAGCACACAAGAGAACTGACGGTGTGCATGTGTTCATATTTCAGCTCTCGTTGCAGAACCAGGAACTGATGGAACATAATCTGACACTTCAAGAGCGTCTTCAGGGTGAGGAGGCACCATGTGGCCGTGGTTTGCTCCCTGTGGGAGCCCGGCTCACCCAGAAGCTGTATGGAGAGATGGCCGCCTGTCTGTGTGACCTCCGCTCCCTCTGCAACGTCCTCACCCAGCGGGCTCAAGGCCATGACCCAAACCTCTCCATGCTGCTCGGCATTGCCTGTAAGTGCGCCCTCTGCTGTCATCATGCTATAAAGAATACTAGCACGCCTTCAGATATAGCAGAAAAGAAATTCAATAGAGAAAAACTCCAGTAGTAATAGTTCAGTAGACAACAGTTTTGAAAGACAAACATGATATAGTACCTTATAGTACTCCCTCACAGTCTCGTTTCCATCCACATAAAAATTAAATATTGCGTCTAGCATGACTAAAGTGTATTAGTAATTGTGTACACTTGCTTTATTTATTTATTTATTTTTCAATAAAATAAGGCTAAAAATAATGTTCAGCCTTCAATATTTATTGTCTATTTGCTCTTTAATGGCTTTTGTTTGTTTGTTTCTTTATTTTCAACAAACCATTTTCATTTTCAACAAAAAAGCCTATGTTGCTAATGTTAAAATGTAAATCAAAATGTTTGAGTTTATCACAGTAAAAGTTCAAATTAAATCTAAATGTAAAAAAATATGGAATGTTTTCATTAAGAATATTTAATTTTATTCATTTAAATTTTTATTTAATTCAATAAATTTAAATAAATTTATGTTTTATATCATTTGATTTCATTTACATTTTTTAAAATTCATTTTATTTAAAGATGTATATGTAGGCTCTTAAATTTTGTATATATTATGCATTCTATAAACGGCAATATCTACACTTATTTTACTGTAACATTTTAATGTGTTGAATGGCATGTAGTCTTCTGTAAGTGATGATGCCAATGAATATTTGAATCTATTACGATAATTGAAGTTGACACTTTGATTCAAGAAAATGAATCAAAATTACTAATGTTTTTGCTGCTCACATTTAAATCAGAAACAAAATTTAAGTCTGTTGTAATACACATATACACATACATAGAGAATATCACACTCATTGTGAATATTCAATATATCGCCGATTCCTAGTACACACTTGGCTGTTGGTGATTACATCTCAGTAGTTTTTACCATACTGTCATAGAAACTCTGTATGGCAGCTTTGTTGTGTTCTGTGTGTTGTGGCCATTATCAGCAGTGACTCTGACACCGTGTCTCTGTTTGTCTGCAGCAGCTCCCCCTGCAGTAGGAGAGCAGTGGGAGGACTGGCTGAGCCCCGAGGGGCTGCAGAAGAAGCTGCAGGAAGCTCAGCAGCTCCGTCGAGACATAGAGGAACTGAGAACCACAGTCTCTGACCGCTACGCTCAGGATATGGGAGAAAACTGCATCACTCAGTGAGCTCGGACAGTACGGCTTGTGCTCAATGAGGGTAACTCCACATCACGAGTGCCTTTAAAGACACTACAATCCACTACAAACCTTCTTCATGAAGGATTAGCGACACTAAGGACACTGTAATCTCGCAAATCAGAAGGCTATTTTTATACAAAAGGTTTCATAAAATATTTTTCTAAGATTTTGATGACTTCGTGTGCAGTGGAAAGAGAATGATTTAATTTAAACCTTTCCATGTATTTGGGAACGTCTGTGATGAAGTTGACAATCAACTGAAAATATTTAGTCTTTTGGTGCAACTAACATGCCGTGTGTTTTTTACAATGGCAAAGCCTGTGAAGCAAGTGACGCTCGGTTGTGTGTAATAAGAAGACTTTAACTGCGATCCATCATCTTACAGTAAACAGAACGTACCACGTTAAACACAGAATCTAAGGCTGAGGAAATATTTGGCCACCTCTGGCTGTTTAAAATTACACCAGCAGATCATATATGTATAAAGTTGGAGAACAGACATTCTTTAATATTATATGCAACCAAAGTTCAGTGTGATCAAAGACAGACCTGTCAGAACAGTTTCCATAATGCTGTAAAGAGTCTTAGTGTAAAAATAGGGATATTTTAAAGCAAGAGAGGGCTGTAAACATAATATTAAATTCTGGTTGTCTATTAAATAAAAAAGTTAATAGAATGCCAATAGTTGGACCTCTTCCTGTTGATACATATAAAAATTCTGCAAACTGATGTTCATGTGCCTTTTAAGTTTAGGATCACTTAATTTCAGAGTAACTGATCATATTATCAGTATCACATTATCAAAGGTGTCTCAAGGATCTCACAACATTAATAGCTGTCTGGTTCATAATTAGTTTTATCAGCTGTAAAAATAGCTACACCATTGAGTCAACACATCAGAGGAAACCAACTGGTGAAGCAAATATTAGTGCATGTCAAATATTAGAGCAGGTGCCTTGCGTTCAGGGAAGTAACCTGTATTTGCTGCACAACAAGTCAATGTAAACACTAACTGTCTTTCTCTACTGTAATGTGCGACTGCCAAGGTATTGGAATTCTATTACAAAAAGGGACCATATATTGTGGGGAATCTTGCGTGGTAAATTTTTATATTTTGGTCCAGAAACATCACAGTGTGAATGTAATTTGACGGTGCACCATATGTTTTTCATATTGTAAGATCTCTTACAGGTTTAACACAAAACCAGTCAGGCAAACCTTATATGGCAAAAACTTTAACACTAAATGTGACTATATTTATATGTTTGTCTTAAGCTGTTTCAGTTTTTAGAAATAAAGCTTTGTATTTCATATGTAACCTTATGCTGAATGTTTGTTTTTAGTATGTATAATGCTGTAACATCATGTTCTCTTTTGATATAGAAATGACTACATTTTAGCATTTGGTAATATAGAAATTACAATGAACATTGTCATTTTTAATATGCAATTACATTTCGTATGTAATTACAAGCAGAAGTAGTACACACCATTCAACAACAACAACAACAACAACAACAACATGCTTGATTTGTTTTGCACCTCTTAATAATGGGAGTATCTAAAGCAGCCAAACCCGTTTATTATAGGGATGTTTCAGTGTATTTGACCTCACCCAAAAGACTTTTTGTAAATGAATACATTTCTGCAAATGGTTTAAAATAAAAAATATGTTTAAAAGATTTAGTTGGAACAATAATATGGAATGAAATAATATAAACCATAGACCACCTTGACAGGTGATTGGGTGTTACCTCCAGGTTCATTTACAGAGAATAGAAAAATATTTTTTATAATATCAGCTGATAATAAATTATTGTAATTTGAATTGTTTAATTGAAAATGTATCAATCATTTAGTAAATTGATTACTTTTTAAAAATTATTTTAAACCTGCTTATTGATGTGTTTGGACATCTACCTGATTTATCAATATCCAAAATCCATACATGTTGATGTATGATCAGTGAGACAGCTGGAGTCAGCAATGTTGTAGCATCACTGTAAAAGTGCATTAATGATGCTCACTGGTTATGAGCTGATGGTTGTTGTTCTTTATGTGTCTCCACACTGTCTGTGTGATGAAGCTTGTGGACGCAGGAGCAGCGCTGCATTTGGAGTCAGACCACAGGACAGTAGCGTCTGGGTGTCATCACTGTAGCACCGTTGTGGAAATGCACTAATGATGTCATATAGTGCAGCACCCGGTCCTCTGTCAAAAGAGATTGGCTCAAATTATTGTCTGTAAGCTTACTCGAAAAGGATGACAACCTGTATAATATTTCTGCTCATAAATATAGACACCATACTTAAAATTTGGGCAAAACGGTATTAAAGGAATAGTTCACCCAAAAATGAATATTTGCTGTAAATGTATTCATCCTCAGGCCTTCCAAGATGTAGATTAGGTTTTTTTTCATTGGAACAGATTTGGAGAAATTAAGCATTACATCACTTGCTCACCAATGGATCCTCTGCAGTGAATGGGTGCCGTCAGATTGACAGTTAAACAGCTGATAAAAACATCACAATAATCCACAAGTAGTCCACATGACTCCAGTCCATCAATTAATATCTTGTGAAGTGAAAAACTGTTTACAAGCAAAAACAGTTCTAAACAAATATGTCTGGATTTTGATGTGAGATGACAACAGGGGATGGATTACAGGAGGAAGCATTACTATGGATTATGGACTCATATTTTGACCAGAATTGACGATTTAAAGTTAAAACGTCTTAATAATGGATTTGTTTCTTAAAAACATGCAATTTTTCACTTCACAAGATGTTAATTGATGGACTGCAGTTGTGTGGATTACTTGTGGATGTTTTTATCAGCTGTTTGGACTCTATTTCTGACGGCACCCATTCACTGCAGAGGATCTATTGATGAGCAAGTGATGTAATGTTACAAATCTGATTAAATCTGTCCACATCTGTTCCGATGAAAAAGCAAACTCTAAATCTTGGAAGGCCAAAGGATGAGTAAATTTGTAGAAATTGTTTTAGTTTTGAATTATTTTATAACATTTTTATTTATGCATTTCAGTATTTAATTAATTAAAAGTATATTTATAACCTGCATTTCTCTTGGTTCGTGAGTTTATTATATTAGATGTATTTTGGGAATACATGTAATGCTGTTTTGTGTTTTTTTTAAATGTTTTTACGCATTTTAGGAGGCAGCATAAATAAGTTGCCTACATATGGAGCATGTCTGATCTCTTAAAATGCTCCCTAGAGTGGCAGATCTCTTAATTTTGAAACTGTGTTTGAGTATCAATTTTGAAAGCTTGTAGTCGTATCTCAAACCTTTTCAGGTCCAAGTAGTGACGGAGATCTCCAATGGTCTCCGTGAAGTACATTCTCATGATAAATGTCTCCATGCCATCCTCAGACTTCAGTCGTAGTGTGGTGACTTGTGCTGATAGTGAAGAGTCTGTCTCACTGAATCACACCACATGGGTGGGGAAAGTTAATTATTCAAGTCAGGAACTCTAATCAACTTTCATGCTGTCTATCAAAGCTCTTCTGTTTGGTCATAACTTTAAGATAATTAGGTTTTTGATACCATTCTCTCAAGGCCTGCAGGGTAGATGTTTCCACAGTAGTCACCGAGTGACTTTTGGCACCATCAGGAAAGCCCTTAACAAAACGGAAATTCAGTTCAGTGGGAAATGTGACTGAACGACCCTAAACGGGACTGACTGAAACATGACTACACTGACCAGAAGATGAGCCTTGATTGAGTCACGTATACTAATCACTTTGCCTTCCTTCACCACAGTCTCTGGGAGCTTCCGCAAGAACTGTTCCATGGACAGCTTTTTGCCTAAATGCCACAGAATGTCAATTTAAATTCCATTTTTTTATGTAATAGAGTAACTGTGAATCATACCAAAATCATGTTCAAACCTGGTATCTGACTCTGTTTTGGCGCTGTGGAGCTGGTCTGCTCAGAACTGTCCACCGAATGCCTTCCTGCTCCTTCTATAGTTTGCCCTCTTCCAGGAAACTCGGTCCCTGGTCGCCTAACTATGAACTCATCGTCCCGTTTGTCACTAACCTATTTTTGTGGTTCAAGATCATACATAACAGTTAAAGAATGATAACTATAACTATATATAGCATCCTTCCTTAATTTAAGTCGATGGGATTTTTCACACGCCACATAAAATCCCTAAGTATTTTAACAATAATTTAATTATTAATAATTAGAGGTATAATGCAAGTGACATGGCAAAGTTGAACACTTGCACTACACTGTTCAAAAGTTTAGGGTCAGTACAATTTAAAAAAAAATGTTTAAAGCAAAGATGCCTTAAAGCAGCACTATGTAACTTTTTCTGTGTTCAAAATTTATATAATGAGCGAGTACATCATGAATTCATCTTCCAAACCGCGTTTTTGTCTTATTCCGAATCACTACGGTTACGGTACACTTATAATAAGTACTTATATTTGGACTAGTATAGCCTGGTCGGGTCGTCACCGCTGCGGAGTAACACATACCTGCGTGAATCGCCATAGGCATAAAGTTAGAGAAGTAGCTCCGGTTGGAATGTTCTTCCGCGGGATGTGTGCAGTTCTGTTTATTAACCGCTAGAGCGCCAAAACTTACATAGTGCTGCTTTAAATTGATTGAAAGTGGCAGTAAAGACATTTATAATGTACAAAAGATTTTTACTTCAAACAAATGCTGTTCTTTTGAATTTTCTATTCATCAAAAAATCCTGAAAAAAATGTATCACAGTTTCCACAAAAATTGTTTTCAGTATTAATAATAATACATGTTTCTTGACCAAATCAGCATATTAGAATGATTTCTGAAGGATCATGTGACACCAAAGACTGGACTAATCACAAGAATAAACATTTTTTATGGTTATTATATATATTAATATTACTGTTTTTACTGTATTTTTAGATCAAATAAATGCATCCTTTATGAGCATAAGAAACTTTCAAAAACATATCAGAATATTATCAACCCAAACTTTTGAACTTTTGTGTAGGGTTAGGGATTTGATAAATCCATAACCCTAAAT